GGGGGGGAGGGTAGGGGTGGGGTGGGGTGGGGTGATGAAAAAATCACGAAGTGAGACAACCACACCCAGTGGCGTTAAAGTGTGGCGGAAATTCATATAATTGGTTAGGTAGTCAAGTACTGTTGTATAACTATGACGTCTTAAACCATTTGATTGGATAAAAGGTTCTGGTGTATTGTGCGGCTTTATCATAAATAGTCCGACCTCTTAGGTCAAAAACATTTAGAATTATGTTCACCGAGTACCGATTGTCTCCAAAACTGTATGTAACTGATGAAAAAAACTGTGACGATGATGATGATTATGTGTTTGTTTTTTGGAATATAAAGGATGAAGAAATAAGAGATGATTTTCCCGATGAATTTTCCTTCTCAATACTCGAAAAAACCAGCACCGACTCCGAGGAACCCGACAATGTCAGAGTCGAATTAGGACCAGAATATGAGAACATTGTAAAGGAGGTATGTTCATGGTGGGAACACTGTATTGCTTTATTGATTTTTGTATTTCTAAAACCCATTTTGTCTTAATTCAGTCCTTGCAGGAACCTCTCGTCATTCCATCCTCAAGGTAAGTTAAATAAATCTTCGTTAACAATAATATTCCTACTGATTGATTATAAGTAGGCATCTATTTTACAGGCTTAAAGTTAGTGTAAAGCGTAGGCCATGTCGATGGTCTCGATTCCTGATTCTCCTTCTCCTCCTTATTCTCCTCATCATCCCCTTCCTGCTCTTGCTGTGCGTGGTTAATCCCGACTACTGCGTTCTGCCAGGACTCTGCCCAGGTTTGGATCTGCGTCAACGCATTAGTTTCCACATACGAGAATTTCATAGAAGGCGCATGCCCCATAACCCCATCTAAGCACCAAAACCCTCTACTCTCATCTCTTATTGCAGTTTTGACCCCCACTTTCATCATGTACAGTCTCCTTAACGCCATTATTCTCCTTTTATACATATATATATATTTTATTTACGCCTTTTGTATGTATAAACACGTTCGTCATCAGTCATGACTTAAGATATTCTTGTATGTAGTAATTGATATTATATAAAACTGTTCGCCTAAAAAATATTTCACTTTAAAGATACTAGTTAAAACATGACAATTTTTGTTGTTGTTGTCGCTGTATGAATCATAGTTACCTTTGGTGGTACTATATCCTTTAGATACCATACACTTAGACCAGTCTGCCTAAATATGCGTCATCCCTTGATGTCTACATTAACTTTTTTTCTTTGCATAAGGGTAATATTTTAGAAAATAACAAATACTTTTTTTGGTAATCACTCGCGTTTTAACCCCGTTCTCCGTGTAATAAATTTGTAGCAATAAAACTGATTTTCAATTTGACCTTCGTTAGGCCTGGTTTCCTCAAGCGTCTAATGAAAATTCCCATGGTTAATAGTGTGTCCAACATACGCTTCGTGTTTGAAGTAAAAGTTAGTAGTTAGAGTTATAATCGTGCGTTAGGCCAAAACGCTGGTTAAAAAAGTCACCAGAAAGCATTGTTGGGCAAGAGAACCTCGAAGAGACTTGGATAGACGAGGGACGAGGAAGGGAGATGGGGGTGTGTGTGAAGCGTAAGAGGAGATAACGCAATCACGTGTCTGTATGTGTGAATGTGAGCGAAAAAATCGATAATTGGTATGACTCATTTGGCTCAAGGACGCGCGCGAAGTATAAGCGCAGATACGCTTTTCAATTGCATGGAGCAATATCAGGGAAAAAGTGGAATTGACAAAACTGTCTGAACTTGACAACTGGGTATTTGGATCCTCGTAGAGAAATAAGGATAAAAAACTAAAACATATTTACTTAGGAAATTAATTAAGAATAATTTCGGCAAGTAAAGCACAGGTACCAATCATATTTGTGCGTGTAAGTGCCTCGATAAAGGGAAGGTGGCATACATGTTTAAAAAACCGTAACTTTGTGACATTCTTACTGAATATATTTGCACACAGTAAATATAGAAAGAAAGGACTCATTTTTAGAGAAATGGGGTTTGCGATAGACTTACCTCCACGTGGTGCACCCTGGGCAACATATACTCATGCGGCAAAAAAGTCCATAAACCGGCAGTTAACTTCTGATTTCAAACTATCATGACCCCACTGTATGCCAAATTCGACCACTTCCACACTACTCACCTCGTCTTTCATCTACCTTTGTGTCTGTCTCTTTGAAACACTCTTCTATTCTCCCCTCCCCTCGACTTTTTTCGCTTTGATGTTCCTCCTCCCCTCTGTGAAGCCTGAAGTCAACTAAAGTGCTAATGACAGCTATCATGAAGCCTGCCATTTGATATAAATAAATAAATTTTTAGAGAAATGAGGGAGGATATACCAGTAGAAGGCATCGATTTGGTAAGGTTGAAATATCAAAGGATCAGAGAGTCGTAAGTAAATCCAAATACGCCACTTATTAAATATTTTTTGCTTTGACAAATATTTTATACTTTTTTCTCTTTTAATAATTAAAATAGTATTCAGTTATGAAACTATTTTTACGAACTCATGGGATAATCATACGCAAGGAACAGAATTCCGTGGCAAATGAATATCGTTAATTGGAACTCTTTTGCATGAAAAATGGTCGTCCTCTAACCCCCCTCCCTCTTACTCTCTCTCTCTCTCTCTCTCAACTCCACCTGGATTGCGGATATTTTAAGATTCTTTGCTGGACTAACATTGGGTTCCAAGCTGGATAATTTGGTTTGGGAACAATTCGGATTAAAAGCTCTTATATTCTGTGCTTCCAGACCTTCCAGTAATTGATTTTCAATATTTCGTTATTTTGTGCGTTTAGAATCTATTCTATGGACTAATAAATGTAATAGCTCATGCCATTGCAGAAGATGGGTTGCCACATTTGCTCAAACCTTATTGGTTTATGGGTTATATTAGCTTAGCAGGCTACTATAATATACGATAGATACTTGTCTAGAAGCAGCTGGAAACTGCATTCATTATTTTTGCTATTAGTAAGGCTGTTTTCCATCGTTGGTGCATTGATAGTGATTAACTGGCAATTAAACTACCTTGTCATTAAAGGCAGCGTCTGTTGAATGTTGTTTGACCGAGAGGTCTTTGTCCTTATTACCCTCCTTCCCCCCCCCCCCCTCCAAACTCTCGCTCTACTCGATCAGTAGCACGACCACACCCTCCATACTGTTCAAGAGCAAGTGACTTTCTTTGTTCAGCCCAGCTGGCGTTATGCACACCTTTTACTTATTAATAAAAGAGTCCGACAGACACAGAATTATGGAAAAGGGTGAGGTGAGTATTCTGGAAGTGGTCGAATATGACACACAATGGGGTCATGGTAGTTTGAAGTCAGAAGCCAACTGCCGGTTTATTGAATTTTTCTGCCGTATGAGTACACTTTGCCCAGGGTACACAACGTGGAGGCAAATATATGACACACCCTAACATCAGGACATAGGCTCGCTTAAATCCACACCGACTGGTGTAAGGCAATGCGCTATGGGGAGGGGAGGGGGGGAAGGGTGGAGGGGGAGGGGGGGGGGGGGGGCATAACTGGGGGAAGCGAAGACCCTAACAAAGACGCAGTGTGGACTTTCCTTGCATTCTCAAACTCGGGTGCTATTTTGCGTTTGCCTACCATTGAAACCACGCAGTATTAAATGGCGATTTATTGTAATTAGCAAATAACTTATGTGAAAATTGGCTCTTTATTTCCCATATATTTCCGAATAGAAGTTGGAAATTTAAGCAAAACTTATTAATAAAATAAAAATAAAATAGAGTGAAATATTCGTAGCTGCACATTTAACTTAAAATAAAAAAAATAGAAAGAAATATTCGTAGCAGCCTGGGATTTGTGTTATTTATAAAAGGAAGAAATTTAAAACATTTCGTTTATTTATTTTCAGAACAAAAACTATTAATTAAATTTGTTTGCCGACATGATTAAGTGGTTAAACATTAATCTTTCTAATAAAATTGGCGACAAAGCTTTTTGACGAAATTTTATGTGGCGAAAGGGCGTCACAATTAGACGGGCCCACATCGGAGCTGACATAACTCATCGTTATACCGCCATCAAACAATAGTTCTCTTTTGTAGTCGGCTGAAACCACCTAGTTAATAGAATGCAGTACTGATGAATGATTCCTCGCAAAATTTATTAACATCAAACGACAGGATTTATGGTGCTTATCATTAGCCCTTCAGTCGATTTCAGGCTTCACAGAGGGGAGGAACCTCAAAGTCGCAAAAAGCCGAGAGGGTGAGGGAACAGAAGAGCTATTGACAGATGCAAAAGGGACGTACACATAGATAGAGAAAAAGGCAAGATGAGTGCTGTGGAAGTGGTCGAATATGACATACAATCGGGTCATGGTGAATTGAAGTCAGAAGTCAACTGCCAGTTTTATAGACGTTTTGGCCACATGAGTATATGTTGCTCAGAGTGCACCACGTGGAGGTAAGTCTATTGCGCACCTCTCCCTGACAAAATTACCTCCACCCACCTGATAAACACATTAATCGATGGATTAATGAAGGCGATTTTCAAGGTGCTCATCAGCAAAGCATTTGTTCACAACTCCCCTTAAGGATATGTTATCACGTTTCTACGGTAGTACAGAATTCCCAGATAGGAATTTAAGATTCCCTGGAGATTTCTCACGCACCTACAACTTGTTAATTGATGCTTTATATGATAATTGAGTGCTTGCCGCAGGATCTTCATGCTAAGATAATTTAGGATGTCTTAGGACTCCCTCGATTAAGACGTTATGCCTAGAATTATAATTGGTCACTCGGGGTGTGCGATAGACTTACCTCCACGTGGTGCACCCTGGGCAACGTATCCACATACGGCAAAAATGTCTATTAACTGGCAGTTGACTTCTCACTTCAAACTACCATCACCTCACTCTTTGGCATATTTGACTACTTTCACAGTAATCACCTCACCTTTTTTTCTACCTTTGTCTCTTTTACATCTTTGAAGCACTCTTCTGTTCTCCCCTCCCCTCCTCTCGAAATTTTTTTCACTTTGATGTTCCTCCTCCTCTGTCAAGCCTGAAGTCAACTAAAGGGCTAATGATGACCATTAAAACGCCTGCCATTTGAGACAAATATTGATAATTATTGGTCATTATGTGAGACCGATCACACAGCATTTTCTTGAGACATGGGCATCTATATCGCCACATCACAAACCCGGTTGGTTTCTGACCTGTCCTAGTAGTAAATATTGATTGATGTAGAAACCGAATGGATTAAGGAATGTTCTGCGGTTTGTTTCTAGATAATCATGGTCACCAATTTGGTGAATACTTCCTCGATAACACGATAATACCACCTTCTTATCAATGAGTTTCAAAAGAAATGATTTGCATTGAACAACCTTCGAAATATTTGTCGAATGACAAGCATTACTGAAATGCACTACGCCCCGTGCTGTTGTCATCTTTTTATTTTTGAAGCACAAGTCTTCTAGATGATTCCAGTGGAGTGTACTTTTATGGAATTTTTTTCATATAGACTGAATGGTTACTTATAACATCTTTCTTTGAATTTAAACTTTGACTTATTTCAGCCAATCATTTCCTCCCAATGCACTAACACAATGCGCGTTTCAATATATGCTATCTTAAAATGATCTGCTCGATTAAGTTGGACAATCTGCAATGTCTCTCTCTCTCTCTTCCTCTCTGCAATGTTCTACCTATTCAAATTAGTGCATTTCATCATAAGGACTTGAGTAAATTACTGAAATAATCTCAATTACAGTAAATTTTATGAGGCAGGCCTAATTGAGCAGGCTAATGAAATAAATAAATGAAGAAAAGTATTTCTTTATTCTGAATACCTCAAATCTACTCG